CAAACTTCTTTAACAGTTAAGATTAAAACTTTGTCTTTAAATATCTTAAATCATATTTAATATATATGTATAGCTAATATAGATAGTAGATATTTGTCTTCTCAGTTTTCAGATCTGATTTTTTATTAGTGAAACGTTATTCTAAAGAAGTACTTTAAAGTGTTGCCCGAATAATTGAATAAAATTTTTTTGTTGGTCCTATCAGATAATTTCGAGAAAGTAAAGTTTCCATTGAGCAATATCGGATAAAATGATTGAAAAAAATAAATTGCAAAAACAGAATAATTGGCATAATTGACGCTCAAAAAAATAAATAAATAAATAAAAATTGAAAAAAGTGGGTCTGCAGGTAATGTAAAACGAAAAATCAAGTTTGTGTAGTCTGAAAACAAACAATATTATCTTATGAACTGTAGAGCAGGCAAATTTGCCTGCTAGTTTTAACTAATAATGATAAAAGATTTTTTTAATTTAGATATGATCAACTGCATATTAATAACGATAATAATGATAATGATAATTAATTTTGATGAATCCTTTTTTTTTTCTAATATCGATATGACTGAAATACAAGATGAGAGCTTTTATTCTTGTTCTTTTAATAGAAATCAAAATTTAATTGATAATATATTGGGAGATAGTTTAGAAGAAAGCAATAATAAAGATGATAAAGAAGTTATTAAAGAAAAAAAAGATTTATTTTATACGCCCTTACTGTATATGATTTTTTACCTTTTTAACATAATCATTTATTATATGAATCTCAATTAATTTAACCGAAGATATAGAGTTAAATGTTTTGCCTTACAATATTTTAACTTTTTTTCTATTCATCAAATAGAAACTATTGTAAAAAATACAAATATTTATGTATATATACACGGCGCAAAAAAAGGAAATAATTTTAGAAAATTTTAAATTGCCATTAGATAGTGAAATCAGTCGAAACGGCGAGTCAGTCACTCCACAATCCAAAACTTCGTGTTACCTACGGTTGGCTTAGTCGAAAAGAGGCGTTTAGATTTGGTCGGTGGTTTGG